TCTTTCCTCAACATACATCTTGCCTTCCTTTATTTCTCCCTCTTTTTTTTTTACTTTCAATCACATCTCTTAGCTTTCACATGCTCACATTGCACACACATCCATAAATACTGTCAAAGACTCAGAAATCTTTTACATACTAATTTTCATACAAAACCTCCTATTCACATGTTTCTATGCTTTTTTCTAGCTTAAGTGTTCAGCTGACACTCAAAATAGAATGAAGAAATGTCATAGCAATCCATCATAAAATTAAATCATTTATATTTTTCCATCTTTGTACCTTTAATAATATTTTGCTATTAGAGAGTACAACGTAGCTAATACTGCCTTTGATTCTGAAATAGACCTTTTCTCCTTGATTTACATTTTACTTTATTATGATTCTACAAAATAAAAAAAGCTTTTATTCTTTGTTCTGATTACTTAAGCAATATATACTTATAGTAAAAATATTAAAAATTCAGAAAAGTGTAATGAATAACAACCAGACATCCTCTTCAACCATGAAAAAGTAACTGGCAATGGACTTGCCTTCCTGCTATAAATAATTATAAAACTGGAAAAATATTTGAGGACACTGTTTTCCGGAGTTGGACAGGAAGCACCACAGGAATATGAGCCCTGAGAGAAGGGAGACAAATGAGGTGAACCTCACATTCTCCCCATCTCTCTGCCTGGAGGCAATTTTCTGACAATGGCACAGGGGCTAGTAGTCAGTGAGAGGATTTCCTGCAGGTACGCCATCAGGCCTACCAGAGAGTGGCTGCCATAGGTTGTGAGCAAAATGGATGTACTAGAGGTCATACAGTGTAGAGAGATATCGGAATTCTGGTCCAGCCAGAGTGAAGAGAGCTTTTTAAAAACCTAACTCCACCAAAGAGGCACCAGAAAAGCCATGCCTTAAGAGTAAAGACCATTCCCTAAAGTTAGGGCTACGTTAGACACACCCAAACAAAGCTTAAAACCAAGCATCCTCAAACTCAAGAAGAACCACTAATGAATTATTATGAATGATTATATGCCAAAAAATTGGATAATTGAGAAGAAATGGATAAATTCCTAAAAACTACAACAGTTAAGGGGTGGGAAAACTGAGGCCTTGGGACCACATGTGGCCTTCTGGATCCTTGAGTGTAACCTTTTGACTGAATCCAAATTTTACAGAACAAATCCTTTTAATAAAGGGATTTGTTCTGTGAAGTTTGAATTCAGTCGAGGGGCCACATTTGGGGATCTGAAGGGCCACCTATGGCCTTGAAGCCAAAGCTTCCAGGTCAACACCTCTGAGGAACTTTGATGCAAAAATTCTCAGTAAAATACTAACAAACCAAATTCAACAGAATATCATAAAGACTATATACATCATGACCAAGTAAGATTCATTCCTGGCATGCAAAACTATTTTAACATACAAAATTCAATCAATGTTATACATTATATTAATAGATTGAAAGATAAAAACCACATAACCGTCTCAATTGATGGAGAAAAAGCATTCGACAAAGTTCAACATCCTTTTGATATGAACTATCATTTGTTTAGGCATAGAAGGAAATTTGCTAAACGTAGTAAAGACCATTCATGAAAAACCCACAGCCAACATTATAATCAATGGTAAAAACCTGAAAACTTTTCCTATATGATCCCAGATGAGGCAATGATGCTCACTCTCACCCCTTCTGCACACTCCACAGAGCCCTGGACATTTCACAAGAGTGATAATAGACCCTCCTTTGTAGCAGAGGTAACCCAGCAAGTAAACAAAGTCCTACACCTAGAATAGAAATTGCACACATCCTGGAATTGATATAGGAAACACATCTAAAGTGGGATAAGATATTCCTGCTTGCCCTCCTTTAGATAAGGGGAGCCCTTTAGAAGCAGGCTTAAGTTAAGCCCCTAAGAAATAGTTTATGAGAGACCCTTCCTAGCACTCAGAGGTAAGTATGGTAATATAACCATGAGTAAAAGAAAATACTATAAAACAATATGTCAGATGAGTGGGTCCGGTGGTAACCACTATGCATGAGTTTGCCTCTTTCAGTTCCCTGCCCCAGTTGGAAGCAGAGAAGTGGAAGGGACCCTATGAAGTGCCTTTAACAACTCACACTTCATTAAAATTGTCATAAGTAAAACTTTGGGTCCATAATACCAAAGTAAAGAGGTGTAGCTCCCAGGGGAGGGGCCAGCCTTTGGGTGATCTAAAGTATCTGTTTGAGAAAAAGAAAAAAATGAAAATGTTGATATTTTTTGCTAATCCTTCTTTGGTGATTTGTTTTGTCTATAGGATAGAGGGACAGCTCCTTAGTGAGGATTTCCCCAGGCTATTGCCTCTTCTGTTAATCTGTCTTACTGCTAGGTGTGTTAGCCTAAACCTAATTTGGTACAAGTATTTCTGTACGTGATTTCTGAATTTGCAGAAGCCGAGCTCTCAGATCACCTACAGGGTACAACTAATAGCTCTACACTCAGAGGTCCTATGTTTCTTTTCTGACCCAGCCCTACATCGGACATTTTGTGCAAGGTGACAGTCCATTTCACCCTGTCAATCCTCCTGGTTATAGTTATCGCTTATGCCCTTTTTCACCTGATAATCGGCAAGGCAATTGAGTGTTAGGGTAGACTTTTCAAAATATGGTGCTGGAAAAACTAGATATCCAAAGGCACAAAAATGAACTTTGCTTCATATCCCACTCTGTATATAAAAATTAACTGAAAATGGATCATAGACCTAAATATAAAACCTAAAACTGTAAAAGTTCTAGACAAAAATATAGGAGAATATGCTGTGACCTTAAATTAGGCAAAAATTTCTTAGATATGACACCAAAAGCATGATTTATAAGAGAGAAAATTGATAAATTTGACTTCACAAAGATTAAAAATTTCTCTTCTAAAAATACTGTTAAAAGAATGAAAAAATGTGGGAGAAAATATTTTCAAATTATATGCCTGATAAAGGACTTATGTTTGGAATACATGAATAATCTCAAACTCAATAATAAGAAAATAACCCAATTTTTTAAATGGGGAAAATATTTGAGCAGACACATTCATTACCAAAGAAGATAAACATTTGGCAAATAAATGCACAAAAAGACGCTCAACATTATTAGTCATTAAGGGAATGGAAATTAAAACAACAATGAGAAACCACTCCTCACATTAAAGAATGTCTAAAATTAAAAACGACTGACCATACCAGTGTTGGTGAAGATGTAGCGAAGACAGAAGCTTTATATATTGCTAGTAAAAATGTAAAATAGTAAACCAATTTGGAAAACAGTTTAGCAGTTTTGTTAAAACTTAAGAAACCTATCATATAATTCAGTCAGTCCATTCTGAGGTATTTATCCACAAGAAATGTACATCCATACAAAGACTTGTACACAAATGTTCACATGCATTTTATTTGTAATAGCTAAAAACTGGAAACAACCTATATCAGTCAGCGTTTGACCAGACAAACACAATCAGTAAAGCATATATAATATATTAAGGTATTTATTACAAGGAATTGATTTATGTAATTGTGGGGCTGGATAGGTAAGTCCAAAGTCTGTAGGGCAGGCCATCGGGAATAGTGGGCTAGGACTCTGGACGTGAGTTGAAGCTGCCGTCCACAGGTGGAATTTCTTTTTCCTCGGGGAAGCCTTGGTTCCACTCTTAAGGCCTCTCAGCTGATTGAATCAGGCCAATATGATCTAGGATAATGTCCTTGACTTAAAGTCAACCCATTATGAACATTAATGACTTCTACAAAGTATCTTCACAGCAACACCTAGACCAGTGTTTGATTCAATAACTGGGACCACAGCCTAGCCAAGTTTGACACATAAAACTGATCATCATACAACCCAAATGTCCATCAGTGGGTGAATGGAAAGACAAATTGTATAATATCTATACAATGGAATACAATTCGTCAACAAAAAGGAATGAACTATTGAAACATGTAACAACAAGGATGAATCTCAAAATAATTATGGTGAATAAAAGAACCCATACAAATAAAGAGCACATTCTGTATAATTCCATTTAGAGAAAATGCTAGCAAATGCAAGTTAATCTGCAGTAATAGAAAGAAGATCAATGGTGATATTCCTTTGCAATTTACTAGCAATAATGAAATATTTATGGGCAGCCTATTATGTACCTAGCATTATATTAAATATTGTGAGGAAAACACATAAAGGAGAAGGCGACCGTTCCCTCAAATACCTTACAAACTACCTGGGAAGAAAAGCGCGTGAGACAATTTAGAGAACATTTAAATACTAAACCAGATTGGATGCAGTGGCTCACACCCCTAATCCCAGCACATCTGGAGGCTGAGGTGGGAGGATCGCTTGAGTCCAGGACTTTAAGAGCAGCCTGGGCAACACAGGGATACCCTGTCTCTACATCGAAAAGAAAGAAAGAAAGAAAAGCATGGTGGTGTACACCTATAGTCCTGGCTACACAGGAGGCTGAGGCGGGAGGATCGCTTGAGCCTCCACTTGAGCCTAGGAGTTCGAGGCTGCAGTGAGCTGTGATCACGCCACTGTCCTCCAGCCTGGGCAACAGAGCCAGACGCTGTCTCTAAAAAAATAAATAAACACTAAACTGCACAATAGTGAGCGTGCACTCGACGGGCGGGAGCTGTCTCTGGCCGCCACGCGCTGCCCGCCTCGCGCCTTACGTCTCATGCCTTGTGACGTCTCATGCCTTGTGACGTCTCATGCCTTGTGACGTCTCATGCCTTGTGACGCGTGTGCCCTACGCCGCCCCGGAGAAGCCCCGCCCAGAGCGCCCTTCTAGAGGTTTCCATGGTGATCGCGAACCGGCGTCAACTGCCTCAGCCGCAACTGCCAGGCGCCCGTTACACGCTCCTCCAGGTGCCGTGAGGGACAGCGGAGGCGGCAGACGTGAGGGCGGCAGCGTGGAGACTCCGAGCCCGAGCCTGAAGAGAGGCTGCGTCGAAGCTCCTGTGACAACCGCCCTGCGCAGCGTCCGCGATGCTAGGCCCCGGGGGACGTCGAGCTTTCGTGGTCAAGCTTCGCGGCCTGCCCTGGTCCTGCTCCGTGACGGACGTGCAGAACTTCCTCTCCGACTGCGTGATTCGCGGTGGGCCCGCGGGCGTCCATTTCGTCTTCACCGCACAGGGCAGGCAGAGCGGCCGGGCTTTTGTGGAGCTGGAATCGGAAGAGGATGTCAGGATGGCCCTGAGGAAACACAGGGAAAGCATGGGACAGAGATACGTAGAAGTGTTCAAGTCCTGCAGGATGGAGATGGACTGGGTGTTCCAGTACAGCGGGCCCTGCGGCGCCAACGGTAGAGTCGTCCGTCTTCGCGGACTCCCGTTCGGGTGCTCCAAGGAAGACATCGTCCAGTTCTTCTCGGGACTGGAAATCGTGCGGAATGGGGTCACGCTGCCCGTGGACCCCATGGGCAGGATCACCGGGCACGCTTTTGTGCAGTTCGCCTCCCGGGAGGTGGCGCTGAAGGCGCTGCGGAAGCACATGGAGAAGATCGGGCACAGGTACATCGAGGTGTTCATGAGCAGCGAGGAGGAGGCCAGGGCCCACTCCGATCCCGCGCTCAAGTCTCCGTCCGCGCACACGTCGGGGCCCGGTACCCGCCCCGCCCCGGCCACGACATGCGCCACCGTCTCGCAGCAACGGAGCCTGGAGGGGATGCGGCCTGGCGCCTCCGGAGCAGGCCGTGGCGGCCACGAGCAGCGCCGCGACCTCGGCGGCAGCCACGGCTCCTCCAGCGGCCCGTCTGGGAGAGGCCGCGGCGGCTTCCCCTCAGGCACACGTGGCGGCTTCCCCTCAGGCTTCCCCTCAGGCAAACGCGGCGGCTTCCCCTCGGGCACCCGCGGCGGCTTCCCCTCGGGCACCCGCGGCGGCTTCCCCTCAAGCTTCCCCTCAGGCACAGGCACACGTGGGGGCTTCCCCTCAGGCACACGCGGCGGCTTCCCCTCGGGCACACGCGGCGGCTTCCCCTCAAGCTTCCCCTCAGGCACACGCGGCGGCTTCCCCTCAGGCACAGGCACACGTGGCGGCTTCCCCTCGGGCACCCGCGGCGGCTTCCCCTCAGGCGGAGCCCGCGAGCTCGCAGAGCAGAGCACCGCCCGGCCCCGCGTCCACATGAGCGGGCTGCCGTCCAACGCCACCGAGAATGACATCTACACCTTCTTCTATCCGCTCAAGCCTCTGAGAGTGGACATTGAGATCGGCCAAGACGGAAGAGCGACCGGCAGGGCCCACGTGGACTTTGCCACTCGCGAAGACGCTGTGGCGGCCACGTCCAAAGGCAGGGCCAGCGTGCAGCCCAGATTCGTAAAGCTCCTGTTGGATCTGAAAACCGGAGCCAGCGACAGGGCGTCCAGCAGTCTGCAGACGCCAGGCACCGGGCCGTCCGCAGCCCAGGCCGCTGACAGCGGTCCGGAGAGTCAGCCCCCGAGCGGCTGACACGGGGCTGGCTCCAGCGGCCCCAACAGCACGGGCAGTGGCACTGGTTTCCTAGGAGTGTTGAAGTTTTTTCAGTCCAGTTTTCACAGGCAGCCAACAAGCAATGAAGAGCAGTTGTAACTCTAGGGGAAGTTGTGGGTCCCATTTTGCACCCTGAGTTCGTAAAATCTCGATTAAAAAAATTACATCTTCACTGCTTTCTCTTGTAAACTTCTAGCGTGTGATATTGAGTAAACTAAAACTATTTTCAGCTTTTCTCAATCTACATTTTGGTAGTATACTTCAGAGTGGTGTTATCTGAGTTTAAGTAGTTTAAGTATGTGAAATATGCACCTTTTGCCACCACGTCGCAGTGGGCAGACACGCTTTTTTGGAAAACTCAAAGGCGCTCGCTCCCTGATTCAAAAAGAAATATTCTCATGTTCATTCTAGTTTATACTTTCATTTAAAATCTTTTAGGTTAAGTTTAAGCTTTTTAAGAGTTAGTTTTGAGAATTGAGACACAATACTAATACTGTAGGAATTGGTGAAGCCTTGACTTAAAACTTTCTTTGTACTGTGATTTCCTTTTGGGTGTATTTTGCCAAGTGAAACTTGTTACATTTTTTGTTAACTAACTTTTTTTCTTAAAATGGAGATTTTTTTCACAATAAAAAATAAACTGTATAATACTCATGGTGAGCACAATTGTACCTTAGAGACTGGAAAGATCAATGTAAAATGAAGTCACTGGGAAAGACTTCATTGAAGAGTTGGGCATTAAAAAAATAGCTGCGACTAATTAGCAAAAAGGGCATCCAAGAGAAGGGAACAGAAAATACAGAGAGGTGAGACCAAAAATGCCTGTATGAGAGTGAGAAGACTGGCTTGTCTGGAGATAAGAGCCAAGTGTGTGTATAAGTGGGGAAGAATGAAAAATAATGACAAATATGTATGATGGTGCCAGATTAAAGATGTCTTGAAAGCTGGGTAAAGGCATGCTTCAATTTTCTACACCAGCTATCAAGCAGCGGGTGAGAAAGATGTGTCTAACAGGAGGGTATAGGATGAATTAGAAGTGATATAATATGGGCAGACAGAGCCATTGAAAGAAAGGCTGTTAGCGCAGAGCAGTGTGGAGTAATAAAAGGTCGGAGGATATACTTTAAAATAACTAAAAGAGTGGACTTGGAATGTTGCTAACACAAAGAAATGATAAATGCCTAAGGTGATAGATACCCCAATTACCCCGAGTACATCAATTCACATCGTACACCTGTATCAAAACATCACATGTACCTTATAAAGATAAATAACTATTGTGTACCCATAACAATTAAAAATAAATTTTAAAAATTTTTGAAAAGGTTGGAGGACAAAGGTGGCATGGAGGGGAAGGAGCAACCTAATGAAGTAATGGGACGATCTGATGGTAGTGAAAGATATTAAAAAATAAACCATCCTTGTCTTGGGGTAGCGCTACTGTCCCATGAATGAGTAGTGAGGGCAGTACTGCTCATGCCTACACAACACGCCCGCATCCGCTAGAGCTTTGCCTCACTTTGGGGCAATTTTTGGAAAAAAGATAAACCTCTTTTCCACAATAAAAAAAAAAAAAAGAAAAGATCAGACGACTGCAAAGCTGATACCCTGAATGACTTTAAGGACGGTGATACCATTGACACAAACATGATTTGGCAATAGAGAGACAGTTTAGAATAATAACATTGAAACTGGGGACAATGAGTTTAAAATGAAAACAAGATCATCCCCCCCGAAAAAAAACCCGAAAAGACAAAAAACAATTTCTATACCCCAGTGTTTCTCAACTCAGAGTGATTTTGCCCCCCAGGGAATATTCGGCAATGTGTGAGGATATGTTTCATGGTCACAGCTGCGTTACTGTAACAAGCGGGTTACTACAAGTATCTGGCTGCTAACCATCCTGCACTGCATAGGAGAGCCGTCAACAACAAAGATTTCTCTGGTTCAAAATCTGAATAGTGCCAAGGTTGAGAAATCCTGTTTTAGGCTGCTGAAAATCACAAAAAAGAAGACAAAGAAGTCAGGACAGGAATATAGATTCAAGAGGGAGCATAAAACTGATACTTAATTTTTAATAGTACAGTTCTCCAAAGAAGTGACCTTTAGAGAAAGAAGATTAAAGCACGAGGGTAACAGAATTTTGAGGACTGACAAACGTAGAGAGGTTATTGAGGGATCTGAACATAGGGGGCAAACGTGAAATGTTTTCTTCTTCAGCTCATATTTTAAATTAGCTCCAGCTTCTCTTCCCTTGAATGGTGCTGTGTGTGCAATGTCCCTGTTCTTCTAGCCACTTTTATGTCACACCAAGTTCCATCCAGTCTTGTCCTACTTACAGTTTTCAACTTCATATCCAATTCAGGAATTTTTTCCTTGGACTCCTGCAACTCAGGCACGTCCTGTGGCCAGAGGGACTTGAGCTCTGTCTGCTCTTCTGTCTTTGTCATCTAACACTTCTGATTTCTCCAGAATGGGGACAGTGTGATGTTGCAATTAGGGGAAACAGGTATGGTTGTTTAGTGTAACTAGGGCAGATTTGGCCTCTTCTGACTTCCGTGTGGTAGGCACCCAAGTGCCTCTCATGTGGCACCCCTCTCAGGCGTTACATTCTCCAGCTGGCTTCATTCAGTTCATATCCGTGGCTTCTGCCCCTGACGATTTGTTTATTGATTGATTGATTTGGTTTCAGAGAACAGAATAGGAAATGGTAGGGTGAATGCAGTATGTCAAAGTATTATTTCATGTAAATTTTGTGTCCAGTGTAAAATGTACTTTTTTCCTCTGAATTGTGATCTAAGAAATTGGGAAGCCACTCTTCTGAAAGTTAATATTGTTTGGTAGGACGAACATAAAGCTCAGGAGATCTGGTTTATGTTCTCAGTTCTGCTATGAGCTTGCTGGTCACCTGGAGCTACCCCCAACTTATCTCTGGACCTCATACTCTTTTTCTCATAAACAAGGGGTTTGGACTCGGCCTCAGTACAGGCCATGGCTGAGCCCAAGCAGGTGGCCAGCATGGCAAAGAGAAGTCAGGCCACTAGCAGAGCTTAAGGAGGCCACTGGCGGTGATCTGTTGCTCATGGACTTGATACCCTGCTAGATTTAGACCCCTTAAAAACTAAAGACTGGGGCTCTGACATTTGGGATGGCACAGCTAAATGGAGACAGAATTCTCATAGACTCATCTCCTACCCAAAGCTTTGGTTCAGCCTCTTATGAGGCACCTACATGAATACGCACATTGGGAGCGTGAGGCCTTGATGGATTTGGTGGGACCTCATTTGAGAGGACCCCATTTACAACTAACTGTTTGTGTGCTTGGGGCGGTGCAAGGACAGAAAGGCAACCCGCTACACAGGGAGCCCAACATGTGGGGGTCCACCCTTTCGATGATTGGCAGTTTCACTCAGATGCCTAGGCTTGTACTGGTGGATACCTTTTAAGGCTGGATAGAGGCTTGTCCTGCCTGGAGGAAAGAAAGGAGCATCTGAGGTCACCAGAATCCTTCTGGAGGTACTCACTCCAAGATGGGCTCCTACCAGGAGCTGACAGGGCCTACACGGAGTTCCTGCATGCATACAGGAACAGGCCTTGGAGGATGATGGGATGAGGGGCATTGACAGTCCAGGAAAAGAGGCCAAGCAAATGGAGACTAACATGCTGGTGACGGAGGCCGTGAACAGACAGCAACAGAGATGGCTCAGCAGGTCCTCCTCCTACAGCAAGGACATCGACAGACACCCCATTGCCAACAGGACCCGGGAGCACACTCCACCGAGCCCTGGACATTTCACAAGAGTGATAATAGACCCTCCTTTGTAGCAGAGGTAACGCAGCAAGTAAACAAAGAATAGAAATTGCATGTATCCTGGAATTGATACAGGAAACCCATCTAAAGTGGGATAGGATATTCCTGCTTGCCCTCCTCTGCATGAAGGTAGCTCTTTAGAAGCAGGCTTAAGTTAAGCCCCTAAGAAATAGTTTATGAGAGACCCTTCCTACCACCCTGAGGTAAGTATGGTAACATAACCATAAGTAAAACAGTATGTCAGATGAGTGGGTCTGGTGCTAACCACAGTACATGAGTTTGCCTCTTTCAGCAGAGAAGTGGAAGGGACCCTATGAAGTGCCTCTAACAACTCACACCTCATTAAAAGTGTCGTAAGTAAAACTTTGGGTCCATAATACCAAAGTAAAGAGGTGTAGCTCCCAGGGGAGGGGCCAGCCTTTGGGTGATCTAAAGTATCTGTTTGAGAAAAAGAAAAAAATGAAAATGTTGATATTTTTGCTAATCTTTCTTTGGTGATTTGTTCTGTCTATAGGATAGAGGGACAACTCCTTAGTGAGGATTTCCCCAGGCTATTGCCTCTTCTGTTAATCTGTCTTACTGCTGGGTGTGTTAGCCTAAACCTCATTTGGTACAAGTATTTCTGTACATGATTTCTGAATTGCAGAAGCCGGGCTCTTGGATCACCTACAGGGTACAACTAATAGCTCTGTGCTCGGAGATCCCATGTTTCTTTTCTGACCCAGCCCTGTATTGGACATTGTGCACAAGGTGACAGTCCATTTCACCTTGTCAGTCCTTATGGTTATAGTTCTTGCTTATGCCCTTTTTCACCTGATAGTCTGTACTTTCCATCTAAAACATCTCCCCAGTTCAGCAGGAAGTAGCTTGATGACTATGTGGCCCCTTCTCCCATAGATATGGAAGGGTAAAATTTACAGTGGGGAATATGTAACAGAGAAAATGCCCTGAAAAAGGGTAAAAATGTTTTCTGTCTCTTCAAAACCCCATTTTCCCTTTTTGAGAACTAAAGCCTGTATTCCTGCCTCGGGCCAGTGGTCAGGAGGGGCGGGGCAGTTTCCTTTGTTCTTTTTGCCACTAGAGATGGCTCAAGGGAATTGTCTGGGTGGAGGTATAAGATTGTCTTAGCCAAACATGGGATTAATCAGAACCTGTAAAAGTTCTGTAC